AATATTTTATCTAATATTATTTGAATTTACTGGATTTAAATAATGTTATGTACTTATTGAATTTTTATTATCTTTATTGGTTATCTGTGTTTAATAGTTAGGTTTTGATTATTTTACATTAAATATTATTAACAATAATGGAAACAATCGTAATAACTAAAGGATATACTCCCCATGTATCGTTTATTTCGAACTAATTTAATCATTGATTTTTGTTGAACTACTTTAATTTTTAATTTATGTTGATCAATTTTAATTTCATTTGGATAGGGTGACTTTCCTACAAGCATTTGGTTGCTTTTTAGTTTACTCCTCTTTTTTGAGAAAATAAATAAAAAAAAATATATGGTATATATATATATATATATATATATATATATATATATAGGTGTGTGTGTGTGTGTGTGTGTGTGTGTGTGTGTGTAGTGTATGTGTGTGTGTAGTGTATGTGTGTGTGTATATATATACATATATTAATAAGATAATGTACTTGGCCAAACACCGCAGACTTTCTTGTATTCAGTGATCGAAGGATTCTTGTCGTACAAGTTGGATTCAACGAAAGGATTGAGTCCTCTTTGGATGAAACAGGACCCTTGGTTATCAACCTGGTAGGACAAACAGTTATCGTCATTGAAGCACGTGTCTCTGCATTGGGCTGCATTTCCAGCTGTTTGAGTGGCTCCTCTGGACACGTAAGATGTAGACTCGACAAAGTTTTTGTTTGTGCAGGCTGTACATAATTTAATTACATTTCTGAATTTTATAAAATGCATTGTTTATATAATAACTCACTATATAGTTGTATTAACTAACCTTTAACGCATCGCTTAACATATTCAGTTATTGTGCTGGTGACGTACGTGTATGCCAGGTTGCTGGCTGTAAGTTGGTGCCAGCAAATAACATTTCCAGCATTTACTTCGAGCTGGTATGAAACACATGAAGGATTGGAGGAACACTCTCCTTCGCATGATTTCCTCGTCAGGCTTGTTCGAAGGGTTGAGCCGAGAGAGACCTGGTTCGGTGTTGGAACTTCGTAAATTACTGGACAGGCCGCTGGAAAAACAAAGCATTTCAATGCATCCATTATTTGAGAATAGTGTTAAAAATATTATATTGTAGATGATAGTATCATGAATTTCAGAGTAGTTTGTTTATGGTAAAAATGAATGTATCAAAACATTTACCAGGACTTGCGGTGGTGGTGGTTGTCGTAGTTGATGTGGTGGTTGATGTGGTGGTTGGAGTTGTTATCGGCCGAGTCGTTGTTGACGTGCAGTTGTTAGTTTTGAAATATTCAATGATATTGGTAACGTCGTAATAATTAAGGATTGCACTCTTCTGCAGCCAGCATCTCGTACCTCCAGCAGTGCTATCTAACTGATAAGATTTGCAAGTTGCATCGTTAGTGCATGCCTGTTCGCATTGTTGGTCCGATGATGTGGCGAGTGGTATGGCTCCCGATGTAGCTTCATTTGCGTTTCCTTGTACATACTGAGTCACGCATATGTCTGAGTGTGGCGTTTTTAATTTTATAGAAAAATAGAAAAATCACCGTTAAAAATTTTTAGTACGTTATTGTTGAATGATTTACTTGAGGTAGAGGTCGAGGTGGAGCAAATTTTTGTATACTCAATCACATTCGGCTGATAATATTTGTTTGGAAGGTCAGCTGAACTTTTTTGAAACCAGCAAAACTGGACATTGGCAGAATTAGTTTCAACCTGATAGGCCAGGCATGTAGGATCAGCAGTGCAACCTTGCCTGCAACTGGCGTCAGTTGACTGTCCTTGCGGCTGTGCGTTTATTGACGAGCTGCCGGCGCCGGTTGTTACGTAGACGTAGCTGGGGCAAGTCGATGTGGCTGGAAATGAATAAATAAATTTATTATTTTCCTTATTTATTAAGAGCAATTTGTTAGCGCTAATTAAAACTGTTTCGTGAGCGCTCACATTCAAACACAAAACGTACGTGACTATATATGAAACACAAAAATTAAAAAATCACAAATGTCACAGTTTAAAAGAAAATAAAAATACTATCAATTCTTTCTTAAATAATTTCAATGAAAGTCTAGATCTTTCTAAACGCCGGTGGAAGACTCTTCCAAACAGCGGGACCAGCAACTGCAATGTCACTTAAACTAATTTGCAAACGCGTAACTGGCACAGACTGCAAATTCAAATCATTCAACCTGAGATGAAAAGTTGATGTAGCTTTTTGGGCAAATTTAAAGCAAACGAATGACAGACGAAACCATAAGAGCTGATTATTTTGGTAATGTCCGACGTGAACAGCAAAAAAGGACGGGTCCCAAAATTGAGCCTTTAGGTATCCTTGATGCAGTAATTGAAATTTCAGATAGTCAATTTTTAAATGAAACTTGTTGTGTGCGATTTGATGGGTACGATCTGAACTATTTATGTGCATTATCTGTTGTGCCATAATTATGACGCAAATTTGTTAAAAGAACCTCCTGGTTGACGCAATCAAACGCCGCTGGCATGTCCAGATACGATAGCAATGATATGTTCTGAGCATCTGTAGCAGCAAACAAACTTGATAGGACATGCAGTAGTGCAGTTTCTGTTGAATGAAACCGCCTGCAACCTGATTGATGCAAAGGCATTAGATTTCTGTTTGTCAAATGGTTAGCAGAATCTCGAAAACAACACGGTCCATCATTTTTAAGATGAATAGAAGGTTCGATATCGGTCGGTAGTTTGCAACATCATTTCCATCACAATTGGCCTTTTTTAAAATTCTGGAAGACTATGGCAAGATTGAAACTTGCAGGAAATTCACCTAACAGCAGGCAAAAGTTGAAAAAACTTATAAAAAAAAACAAATAATCAAATTTATGTGTTTCGTGAAAGAGTGCGTTGGCAAAGTGTTTAGTGAACTTGTTTTTGAAGGCGAATTGATTAGTATATCTCTAAGTTCATTTTCTGAAATTTTTGAAAAAAATTGATATTAAAACAAGATTTGAAAGATGACTGTCATCAGCCGACGGAATTGAAACGTTAGTAGACATAATGATCTTGCTGATGTTCTTATCCGTAAAAAACCGCATGAGTTACGAAGATGTAAGGTTGACATCATCATCAGATTTATTGCATTTTTTATCTCTACATGAAATCTTGTTCACAATCTGCCAACGATTTTTAGAACAATGATTAGTTTTAAGTAAATTCCTCCGATAAGATGTACGCTTTCAGAATAAAATTTATTTCTTGCCCTCATAGAAACCAACAAGTTATTTCGATGATCAGTCATCAAGCGATTTTTGTAATACCTTTCCATCTGTCTGCAGGCTAGTTTAACCTTTATTCCGGCGGTATTTTATTGAATTTATTTCTTGCCCTCATAGAAACCAACAAGTTATTTCGATGATCAGTCATCAAGCGATTTTTGTAATACCTTTCCATCTGTCTGCAGGCTAGTTTAACCTTTATTCCGGCGGTATTTTATTAAATTTAACTGGGGTTTCATTGTAAAATTAATTTAACAGATTTTATCAACTTCTTCACTAAACGAATGACCGATATCATCAATCGATTTTTTTCAATATTTAAAAATCAGTTCCATCCAACTGTGATTTTATTTATTCACTAATTTTGTCTAATTTTGCATTACGCGTATTAATAATGGCGTCGATAGATTTAGACAACGATTTTAATTCACAAACATTTTTTATACATTTGTCTCATAGCCATTTAACATAATATACTTCATCGGACAAGTATACCATCAAACAAGCACTGGCATTGAAAACGTTGAAGTCATTTCAGCTGTCATACAACTTCTTTCTAGTTTTGACGTGTTTTCATAACGCACAGGTGAAAAATACTTTATTTTTTTACTAGTAAAAATATGTTTTTTACTATACCAGAACAAAGCCACTTGAGAATTCAGCTGAACAAAACCACGCGTTAAAACAACGCGTCAACTAAATTTAAATAAACTAATTTATCAACAAATTATCAATAATTCAGATATTTTAACAACAAATTATATATTATTCTAATCCTGAAATTAGAAGCAATCAGTACAGTCAACTTTACAACAAAAAATAGTATTTTTTATTATTAATGCAGCTCTGACATACGCAGAACCACCCACAATGTTACATATATATTATCAATTGATATCTTTATGTTCTTCATTCATTGATTTGAAGCAGCCATCATAGCCAAAAAGGCTGTTTATCCTTTTCAAACGACGTACACATGTATTTATGTGCACGCGCAAGCACCGCATCATATACTCAGCGTATATGATAGCCAGTGAGATGTTAGACTCCGCTCGCATTTGAACCACTGAGCCATCTCTCTCGCCGGCCAACAAGCGACAACTTACGTCGTCTACCCATTTACTGACCTCGAGAGGATGGACGGCTGGGTTGGTTGGGAAGTTAGATTCAGTTTTGTTTTGGTTTATATAGCTATATAAACCACAACTGCACTTAAGATGAGTTAAGATGAGTTGTGAACAAATCCAAAACTATAAAAAAAATGCTAAGACAATCTAAAATTTGGTTAATACTGGAACGTACTTGTTGAAACAGAGGTGGTTGGGTTGGCGCAATATTTAATGTATTCGATGACGTTTGGTCTGCTGTATCTATTTTGAAGGTTTGCTGAGCTTCTCTGGAACCAGCAGATGATTGACGTTCCTGAGGTTTCTATTTGATAGGACACACAAGTAGCATCCAGTGTGCACTGAGCTCTGCAAACAGTTGCATCTGTTGTTTGTTGTTGTACAGCGCCGATCGAAGCTAACCCACTGCCAGTGGTGTTGTACTCGGTTGATGAACACGGCGGTGAAACTGAAAGAATGAAACCAAATTTATTTAATTATCTGAAAAAAACAATGAAACAATGTTATTCTATATATATATATATATATATATATATATATATATATATATAATATTTTATAAATTATACCGAATGTTTGGCGTTAATATGTTTGTAGTTCGTTTTTTCAATTTTTATCACTAAATTTTTTGGTGAACGTTTAGTTTATTAAAACTCAAAATAAACTTATTTTCCGAATTCATGCTGCAAATAAGGCCATATTTCGATTCCGAATGAATCATCATCAGTGCTTTCTGCGGTTTATATAGGGAAATATTGACTTTGTCAAAATGAATTTAGATGGAGATTGACTTTGTCAAAGTGAACTTAGATGGAAATTAAGTGTCAGGTTTCTTTATTAGCTGGTCATCTTCTTTGGTCTCCTTTTCTTCATCGATAGTATCATATTCTTCTTTGTCACTATTTACAATGCTAGTTTTTATTACTTCTTTGTTTTCGTTGCTGGTTATGCAAACTAATCACTAAATCCAGCGTGCCTCTCGAGAAAAGCGTTTGTTAATTGACTATATTCACCAGTTGAAACATGATTTATCAGTTGAAATGTTTCAAGTGTCTCAAACAATCGCAGAGCAAAAGGACAATTGCCTCTCTCTATGTGAATATTGAATTTACACATAAGCACAACTAGTGCATTCGAGATTGTAATAAACTCCAACGCAGTAATTAAATCTTCAAATAATAATGCAGATATCTGATCTGAGCCAGGTATGTAGATTCCAACTAAACAAAACTGATCATTTCCAATTTTTAGTCTGATGGCGACAGTTTCAAACTTTGTATGCAAAAGAAGATTTTTTCTGTTTGTATTCCTTTCAAAAATAAATCACTAATCCAACATGACCCGGACCATATAATCTGACAAAATCCACAAATTAGAAACCAGAAGGCATAACTAAGTTAATAATAATGTTACCCTATAATCCATGCCATGTTTCACAAAGAACAAATATGTCAAGACCCACAAAAATCAATTCATAAATATAACCAACTTTATTATTAATAGACCTGACATTCGGCAAATCCATTTTTGCCATCTTTCTATATTCTTTTACAATTTACATTAACATGTTTAAATTTGTCCAAATCCACATTTTAAACTTTAAATAACTTTTCCACACAATGTCAACAAGTCCATTAATTAAATTTGTTGATTTCTTACGGAAAAACGTACCACTTTCCAACTTACAATTTTCTCTCTCACTCGGTATAAAAAAACCATCTTTATCCTCTGATTCAAATTTTTTCGCATTATTGGCGAGCTGTTTTAACTAATTCCTTTGTTCACATGTAAGATCATGGTTCAGACCAATGCCAAGAAAATTATCACCAATAAATTTTAGTCAGTAACTATTTCTAATAACAAATTCCTTACATCGAGCCTTATCAAACTTAATCCAAATCGGACGTGTTAAGTTGTAACTTTTTTTTCCAAGACGAGAAATTTTTATCACGTTTTTTACTCACATGCCCCACCTATCAAGTGTTTAACTATTTTCTCTATTCTGGTTTTATCAGTTTCTCCCTCTTTCAAGCAAAAAACGATCATGTTGGTTTTTTTCTCCTTTGATCCAACAACACCATTTAAAGTTTTATTACTTATTATATTTTTTAACCCTATTTATATATAATTAGAAAAAAGGTTTTTATTGGTGCAAACGGTGTTGAAAATTGCTAGCAATTTGGAGTTAAGTAGTTTCTTGCCGAAAGACTCAAGACAATGTCGTTTTTGCAACTCCTATTTATTCATTGTAACATGGCTAACAGCGCAGCTTCAGCAGAAATGCCATCTTCAGAGCCTAAGTATATATATTATATTGTTGTAACTCTTTGGCCTCGTAATTACCAACACCGATGTTATAATTTCAATAATCTCTATATCTCCAACACCGTGTTGTAGTTTCCAGAGTTTGTTTATCCGTAGGATGAACACAACTTTTTCAAACGCAAACTTTGTTGAACGTTCATTTGAATACCAGCAATAATAGAAACAATAAATTAATCCAATTAACTAAATAAATCACATTTACGACTTCGCTACGCACCCCAACTTCTACTTCAATCTTTACCATTGAACTTTGGAAGACATGTTTCTAGTCAAATTTAGCAGAGACGCAATTTTACAACCTTTCCAAAGATTAAAAATATGGCATAGAAAAATAACAATCAAATAACAAGTTATACAGCGCTATTCTATCATTCCCGCGGTTATAACAATATATATGATGCTATATACTATACAGTATATACAATAGATACCGTCAAAAATAGTCGGCCAGTACGAGTATATAACGTACACCCCCTCCAACTACGACCAAAGCTGCACTATCGTGAATACACAACCAGACGCGTTTGTTTCAGGCTAGATGTGTTTCGACCTTTTCGGGACTTACCAGCAGCTCGAGTAGGGACATCAACTTAGTGCGTTTGTTTGCTTAGTAGGCAATATTGCAAACGAAGTGTTTTTTTAGATAATTCACAAAACACATTTTAGTCGTTAAAGACGTACTGCTACTTTGCCGAATAAAAGAAAAATAAAATAGCGAGTAAAAGGTATGGGTGAAAAAGTCGACCTGTTCATTTATTATAATTTTTGATAAAAAATTTAAATTATGGAAAATTATATTATTTTGCACGAAATATTATTCTCAACTGCGACGTACTTGTTGAAACAGAGGTGGTCGGGTTGGCGCAATATTTAATGTATTCGATGACGTTTGGTCTGCTGTATCTATTTTGAAGGTTTGCTGAGCTTCTCTGGAACCAGCAGATGATTGACGTTCCTGAGGTTTCTATTTGATAGGACACACAAGTAGCATCCAGTGTGCACTGAGCTCTGCAAACAGTTGCATCTGTTGTTTGTTGTTGTACAGCGCCGATCGAAGCTAACCCACTGCCAGTGGTGTTGTACTCGGTTGATGAACACGGCGGTGAAACTGAAAGAATGAAACCAAATTTATTTAATTGTCTGAAAAAAACAATGAAACAATGTTATTCTATTTATTTTTTTTTTTATATGAGCAAACAAATAAAATTTTTAATTATTTTTGTATTATGTAAATTTCTCTTTTAATATTTATATATATTTATATATTACTGCACATATATATATATATATATATATATATATATATATATATATATATTTACAATATTCTATAAATTCTACCGAATGTTTGGCGTTAATATGTTTGTAAATTTAAACCAAAGTTTAAGAACGCTTTTTGCTTGTTTGTAAGTATGTGAAGGCTAAGATTATATATATACTGCTGACGTTTTCGACATCATTTATTCATTCAGGTTCAAGCATCATGGGTTTGCAGATGACATACAAATCATTGTCAGTGGTCTAGCTACTTCATTTCAAGCTCTTGTTGATAGATTTGGTCGGTGCATGGAGGCGATTGATTCTTGGATGATCAAGCACCAGTTATTGCCAATTGGTACGTGGCAGCAAATGTACAAATTAAATTTCACTTCGATTGAGATTAACAACAGTAAGATTGAATTATGTCAAGTTGCTCGTAATCTTGGTGTTGTATTCGATAGTAATATGACAATGGAGTGCCACATAAAGTGGCTAACTGGTGAATGTCATCGACAACTTCGCATGATGAGGGCTATAAAAAATTCACTTAATGAGATTACCCTGAAGAGTTTGGCTCACGCGTTTATTCACTCGAGGCTGGACTATTGCAACAGCTTTTTTACGGTGTCTCCATGTTGGAAATCTCCAAACTACAGTCAATTCAAAATCGCATGGCCAATCTAGTTGTCGGAGGTTTTAGATCTGATCATGTGACGCCGATTTTACGGGATCTGCACTGGCTTCCGATTGAAAGAGAATTATTTACAAGATTGCTGTTTTGATGTTCAAAGTTTTAAATGGGCGTGCTCCTCCGTACTTGGTCGGTAGATTGACTAAACGTGATTCAACGTCTGGTTATCCAGGATTGAATTCCAAAAATAGGAATTTGCTGGACGTTCCTCAAACCCGTTTGGTGACTGGTAAAAGAAATTTTGCTGTTGCTGGACCGGTGATGTTGAATAATTTTTTTTTTGTTTTTTTTTTATTTTTTATGTTCTTTATTAGTCGGTACTATCGTTAGGTTGTTTTAATTCTTGTGTCGGTTAATAATTCGTTGTGAGGCTTGTTGATTATTGCGTTGAATTTTTTTACATAACTAGTAACTTGTGTGGATAAATCCTAAAAATCGTCATTTGAATTAGTATTACTTCTTTTTGGTCATCTATTTATTTATTGATTTTGTGTTAAATATGTGTTCTGACATTTTACTGAATGACAATCAACTTTCTTTTGTCTTATTTATTTTTTCTTGCACTTATTGTAGGCGCTTTTGAGATTTTATTAAAAAGCAATTTATAAATTTTCATTTAATAATAATAATATATATAAATATATA